GGGGTGAAGTGTCTTGCCCAGGGACACAACGACATGCTGACTGCAGTGGGGTTTGAACNGTGACGGCTGCAACACACTAGGGTCACGCACATAGATACAAACCCTGCACAGCTGCAGAGAAGCATGCGCACAAAAAGACTTCTGATGCACGCACACACGAGAAGAATGTAGGGTTTCACATCCTGCTTTTAGTACAATACCAACCTGCTTATAGATCTGAGAGCATTTCAATAATGGTTTCATCTCTGGAGGAAAAGCAGTGGCTTTTCTTTGCGTTTTTTTCTTCCTATGTGCATGGAAAGTTTGATGTCATTCAGGAAGTTTTGTTTGTCCCTCTCTGAGTTGTAAGGAGCCTCCAGACACAACTTCTTGCCGACAGATGTGTTACATAATCAGAACTTAATTGCAGTTGATCACGGATCGGCCGGTTTAGAACGTAATGTAATGCACACTCCTTCAAGATCTATTAAAGTCTGTTTCATTCAGGGCTCCTCAAATCCCCTGTAAGCCTCTGCTGAGCGCACAAATTATTAAGACAATCTGCGCTTCACATCATGTGCACTGAGCGAGGGGATCCAGGTTGAACGCTGTGATCCCTCCAAGGTAGGATTTTAAACCTGGAGAGGAAAACACAGGAATGTGGCTTAAGAATGTGACATCCTGTTTACGTTTACTTTTCTGCAAAATACATCTGTATAGATCACTTTGCTGTAAAAATGAATAAACCACAGCTTTCAATTATCTAATACAAAAAAAGCTACTTTAGTTTAGTTTCACAGCTAGCTGTCCATACATTGAATTGAATGTTAGGTTTTGTTCCCTAAAAGATAAAAATACATGTGTCATAAAGCTTAAAATATTCCCTACATATATTGAAGTACTTAAAATAACTGTTACATTACATTACACTTGTTAGACGCTTTTATCCAAAGCAGGAGAAATTTGGGGTGAAGTGTCTTGCCCAGGGACACAACGACATACTGACTGCAGTGGGGTTTGAACCTGTGCTCCCCTGATCCGAACACCAACGCACTAGTCCACCGAGCCACACGCCTGTTGATAGAAATTCAATCAAAGAGTGGTTTTGGCTAAAGAGGTAAAGCTAGTCTTTTACACAGAACTTAGGTAATGGCCTAATGTTTTGTTAAGGTAAATATTTTCCTACATTTCTTAAGCCTTCTTATTCCCTCTCATCACCCACCAAAGAAATGTCGCAGACTTTCTCGTATTGTTTACTCTTTCCGTCCCGTGGAGTACATTTTTCCAAAGTATTTGACAAGATTTTCCAATAAAGTAAAAAGTACTTTTGTGTAGCAGAACTTTTTGTTACTTTCTTAACCTTTTTCTGAATGATTTTGAAACCACTGCGCTAGATGCCCTCTGAATATATCAATCAATCAATCAATGTTTATTTATATAGCCCAATATCACAAATGTTACATTTTTCTCAGTGGACTTCACAGTTTGTACAGAATATCAGTATGACAATACGACACCCTCTGTCCTCAGACCAGGGGTGTCACACTCAAATACACAGTGGGCCAAAATAAAAAAATGGGTACTAGTCGAGGGCCGGACTGGTTCAATGTTTATTGCAAAACTTATTGAAACAAACTTATTGCACATATTAAATCTTGAACTAACAAAGCTTAAATTATTGCCTATAAAAACAACATTAAACATTAAATAATCAGTTGCTTTCATTTCTTATGGCTCTATCTGCAGCTTTTCCAGAGTCATTTCTTATGATTACTTTTCTCCACAGGCCAACAACAGCTTCAACAAAACTATTTCCCTCAAAGAAAAAACCAAACATGCCCTGTTGTCTCAAGAAAGAAAGTGCAGAGGGAAACATCCATGTAAACTCAGGTGCTGCTCTGTGGTGCTAGTTC